CCCACTGTCACACACTGCAATCCATCGCGACCACGGCCGAAGTCGAAACAGACCTGCAACTTTTCAGCCTACGAAGAGCTACCCAGCCCCGCCCGCCCCGCCCCGAAAAACGTACCTCAACAACCATTACAAAAAAGTGAAGAACGTTATAATTTGTGGCCGGTTCGAGAGGATTCTCGCACACCTGCTTCTCTGTCTACAGCAAGCAGAACATTTTGAAGTCTCGACCATCGCAATATACTGCTATGGTAGATGGCTTTCACGCAAGTTTCTCCGAACAGCAGCCACCGGATCCCGTTCTGAGAGGACTCGCCACACAGGCGTTTGTGCCTAGGCCAATAATCTCGAGGTAGGCTTTTTGGACGGGACAGGGTTACTGATCAACCCAACCACATGCTGTGTGGCAACTGCACTGCGACGGTACAAGTTGTGGGGAGTGCTGCGGGAGCTGCAAACACTGCTTCCATCGGCCGCAACAAACGCTACTGCAATGTCTACTCAACAATGCAGACGTGAAAGCTGGTGCGACGAGGACCGCCATACGAGCACAAACGGATGGATGACCATTCATTTGCAAAGGAGTGTCGATACATGACCGACTAAAAAGCTCCCGCATAATCTATCGCCAATGGCGGACTGTGAACAAACACAATGCGCCACAGTGAAAGTGAACTGCTATTCTAGCGTACAGCCAGCCGCAAGAGGAAGCGCAACTGTGAGCACTAGTGCTGAGGGAGTTGGCACAGCATCGGGCAAACTGTCCTCTTGCGATGCAACTCAAGGAAGTCTGCGATGCCGCCCAACGCTACCGAAACAACAGCCAGCAGATCGTAAAGGAGAATTATATCTAGCCTTTAAAATCACATAGAATGAACTCCTTCCACTCAAGACCTTTTAGAGGCATCGAGGATTTCCGTGGCAAGGAGAGCAGGGAGACATGGGAGAAGTGGCGGGTAGGGGGAGGTCAAGCGCCATACCACCAAGATTACACGCTCCTCATCAAGGCGAAGGGTATATCTACTACTGCAGCTCATCTCCGCTTTAGAGAAAGGCCTCAGCTGAAAAGTCGTGAGAACGCTAGACAGCCAAAGAAATCACGCCGCCTTCAGCAGAGGCAAAATCCAACGACCTTTGTTGCAAAGCCGAACACAGACGTAGTAATAGAGGAACGAACTTTGTCAGTATTCCTAGTACTATGAGCAAATGTCAGAAAAATGCTGCTACCTTAAACTAGGACGAGAAAACAGCTCCTAATGCAAATCCAGAAAGAGAAGAGGACGAGAGTAGAAGCGATAACGAAGTTCTCTGTCCACAAAGACAGCGCTCTCTTAGCGCTCACACTGGCACACAGGATTGGAACCGTAAGCGCCAAGTCAAAGTCAGAGTCGAACGTCAGTAGGTCCTCGCGAGAAGCCGACCGAAACAAACATCGACCCAATTTTGCAAGCCCGGGAAAATGATAGCCCAGAAGAACCTCTACCTTTCATCGAGACTCCCCGCATGTCTCGCAGTGTCCCCCCGCCCCTGTTCTCTCCTCCTCAGAGCCTCCCTCCTCGTTTGTCGTGTCCTTCGATGACGATCTTCAAAACGGCAGCAATTTCAAAGCAGCGCCGGCTCTTCAAGAGTGCAGAAAACAGAGGATGAAGAACAGAACAGAACAGCCACAAGAGTTAACAGTCATGGTGGTCCACGAAAGCGCAACCAGCATAGACAGCTACCTTCTTCCCCGAATAGGAATAGACCGTACGGCGTACAGTCGTTAGACCTATACGTAGACTAAACGTTGATCCAAATACAGGTATAATGACCGTACAGCGTATGTTGTATTGGGGGGAAGACCGTAGTCGAACGGCATTTGAGGTAATCAAGGGTGGTTTCCGCCAGGGTGCTGCAAAACCCAGCTGGCAGCAGATCTGCTCATCTATAGGTCGAACAGAGGCTGTTGTGGTGAAAACCTACAGCACACACACGCACATACAAGCAGCCTTGCCTCTATTGCGGACAATCATGAAGCTCAGTTAAGATGCGCCAATCCGACAACGAAACAGGTTTACCTCCATGGCATGCAACATGGAGCAGAATAGATCTGTTATATGAACTTATATCCCTTTTCTTAACTATGTCTACTTATAGCTTTCTTTGAAGCACCCTTTTTATTTGTTCTTGCTGCTCGCTTCCCACTGTGCCTCTCATGTACACGGCTGTCCACATTGACTGTAGTTTAGCGCCAGCTGCCCACGTCCCTGTCATCCTTAACGGCCTACTCGCACGCCACTAACTCCTGTTCATTTTTCTCAATATCGTCAGCTTATATTTTTTTCTGTTTCTCTTATGATGCCCATTCGTATACAAAAGAGGAGGGAGGGGGGAAACGGGGAGAGGGTGGAGCTGTATAGGAAGCAAGAACGGGGGAGGGAGAAGGGGGACAGAGAGAAGGGAAGTGGAGGGGTGAAGAACGGAACAGAGAAGAGTGTGTGTGTGTGTGTGTGCGTGTGGCAGATATCCAGCAAATACTCGATCCAAAGAAACAAAACCAAATAACACAAGGTAAGGCATCCCTTTCCACTACCCCGCATAGAAGAAAGCGATTAAAAAAAAGCAAACAATAAAAAAACACTGCAATGTTCTCCACATTCCCGAGGGGTTCCCCAGGAAGTGCAATGCTCCCCCCACAGCCGCCCCTCTATGAGCACTTGCAATGAAAATGATGAATTAGCGGACACTCCATCCAGGACAGCCTGTTAGCTCGCCCGAGCAGTCCTTCCTCTTCCACAAACAACAACACTCAGCAACAGAGTTCGAAAATTTTTAAATTGAAAACCCCAACAAAACGCTCGTGGAAACTATTGACGAAGGGATTATCCCAAACTATTGACAAAGGGATTACCCCGTTAGACTTGGGAGTACTCGCACATCACCGATGCACAAAGGGAAACAGTATGGAAGGACGAAGGCGGACTGGACATACAACGAAACGCCTGACCACACACAGGGCAGGCGAATCGACAAGAAGACCTACGCCTTATTAAACCGGGTGGGGCAAAGCATCAAAGACTGTGAGCGCTCCACCCCGCGGATTGGCGACCGTTTATACGATCGAAATAATTGCATCCCTTGCATACCTTTTCTCTTTGCTTTTTTCATCTTTGGCATCAGAGGGAGGGGCCCTCGCAGACTTATTACTGTAAACAAAAAAAAAAAACTCAGTATACCGTCAAACTGTGACGACACGCTTCATGGTCTTGAGCAACGACTTGGTAAATCACAATCAAATAACACTAGAGGAAGAGCTAAACATGAGACCGGAGTCCCCTGAGGTTATGAAGCTTTCAAGGGACACTGGAAGCACCCCCTCCACTCTGGCCAAGTGCTTTCAAGAGACCAACATCACTAGAAAGCGTGTAAGAGTTCTGAACCCTCGTAACCCCAAACCCTAATCAATGGAGGGATTATTAATTAATAATTTTGTTAGGATATTCTTGATTTATTAGGCTTAGGCTCAGGGTTCCATGTGAAAAACACTTGGACATTGGATGGTCCTCCCTAATAAAAAGACTAGCTAAGTGTCCGCTGTGCAGGCTATGCCCGCAGAAATAACAAATGCAGTGGGTGACCTCACACTGCATTTCAGATGGCTCGCCTCAAAGATGTTCGTCCGCAGAAACAACGAAGGCCTACCGGGGGGCACAAAACAAAAGCCGCGCAATAAATGAAAAACGAACGAAGAAAAAGGAAAAAAAAAAAAAAAGGGGGGGGACACAAAACGACAGGCGCGAGAAATGAAAAAAGGAGAAGGGGGACACAAGACGACGGCCAACCGGGGAAAAAAAACAAACGGGCCCACAAATCGGCTGGCTCGCCTCCAAGATGTTTGTCCGCATCAACGCCAGCCGTGTGCCCCACCCCCGGACGCGTGCTCTCGTTTAATGGTGTGCTGTGAACATTTCGGTACACGCACCTCTCTGCACACTCCCCCACCCTCGATCGCCTTCATCCAATGCCCCTCACCAAAACTTCGACCCGAATCCGGCGCACAGCGAGTCATGGACCTCTCCCCCACAGCCAATGCTGCTTAAGGGATAGGATGTGGAAAATTGTGAGAGGCTCCAGAGACTGACATCACTAGTTAAACCACCAGTACTTGGGGCCGGCCTTCGCGTTAACGCTACGAAAATTTTGCGGCCAGCGGGCCGTGGTTAAATCGAATCCACAGCCCATGTCGCTTCGACCTCCGGCGCGCAGTGCCCAAGTACTGCTTTTTCAAGCTTGTGAAAGCTCACAGGTGCATTCCATTTTTTTTATTTATTTTTTAACTTTTTTTTGTGCATTCCAACTTCTAAGGAAGGGCCAAAGCAAATGACACAGCATTGTAACAGCCTTTTATGGGCGTCGCCATAGAGAACATAAACCATGCATAAAATATCAACCTCGCGTATTGGCACTTGTCCACATCTAGAACAATCACAAAACCAAGGGCTGCGATGAAAGTGGATTGAGGTGAGAAGACACAAAACACTGCATGAAGACGAATCCTATCCCCTCCCACCGCCCCATTTTGGTGACAAGGCATTCAGCATCATTTTCCGTCTCTCCCCACCTCGCTTGCAAACTCGTCAAATAAGCAAACGCTGAGGGGGAGGAAATGCGATTGGCCAGCTTGCTTCCTCTCCATTTTTAACACATTATCTGATTATAGTCATGAGCACGCACGGGCAAACACCCTCCTCCACCCCCTCCCTTCCGCAGCTGTTTCCCGCTATAGCCAGTAAGTAGTTCATAGTCTAGACTTCAGCACCACACGGGAGCAGTAGGCAAAGCCACCTACCTCCCTCACGGTTCCCCCTCCACCAACCCGTTGCCTGCACACCCATTTATACACACAGCTCCACCACTTCGCATCCCTCCTTTTCCCACAAGCTCTGCAAGCGCACCCATCTATACACACACACACACACACAATTCTCCCTATTTCTACCCGTCACACACACCCAAGGAGGTTTGCCAATCGAGACGACCCAAGAGGGGCAAGAGGAATGTGCATCCTGAACCGAGAAAACGAAACAGATAAAGATCTCCACCTCTCAGTCATGCACTGCCTCCGTCAGACACATACAGCGAAAAAGCTCCGTCAAACCATATCACTACCCTTCTCATATGTGGGGCCGCTGGCCTCAAATTCGAATCCAGGCGCGACGCGCCGTCAATGAAAAATATCAACGGCGGCGCGGCGGCCGGCGGCTATTTTTCAGGAGTAGGCTACTAGATGCACCTGGCCGACATATGGGAAAGGTAGCGGTGGTTTAAGATGGGCTCTCATCTGCGCTGTAGATGCAATACTGCAGAGCACTTCTGGACAGGAACATGCCATGCCTTCAACAGGCTCGAGGAAAAACGTTTTCACTCCACAATGCAGTGTCGTATCGGATATTTCCAGGAGGCCGTGCAATCCGCTCAAGTCCGCAACCCACCTACCTAAGTTCTAAAGCTGCCAGATAGAAATAGATACATATAAGCTGATCGCCAAAATGAACAGCGGCCATTCCGTCCCAAATATCACTGAATTGCTCTATTTGATAACCATCCTACCGAGAGCAGGCATAGGTAATCATCACTTGCAATATCTCCAATCACTCTGTGTATTTCATCTGATGAACCATGCTCGTTTAACGCCTTTTTTCTTTTTTTTTTTCCCATTCATGCAGGTTCTTTCATCTCAACATAGCTGGCATAGGTTCAAGTACCACATCAGCTCAGCATCATACAGCCACAACAATGAAACAACCAGCTTGTCATCGTCGGAGATCATTGCTCTCGCTGCATTCCCATCGCAGGAGTGTACAAGGTTGATGGCTACACAAAGGACAGTAAAGAGCACTTCGACATGGATATCTGTCGCTTACTCTACTCCATGGCTGCTTTGACCTATCGTTTTTTCTTTTTCTTTTTTTTCTTTTTTTAACCACCAGTACTTGGCCCAGCTATCGGCCGCGGAAAAAAATAGAGTAGAGACGTTTCTAGTTGGATGAATTTGGGCGCTCCTGTAGTGGCCCGTACGTTTCCTAAAATTGCGTTGCGTTAACGCTACGCGACTTTAGGAAGTACTGGTGGTTTAATGTGGCCCGATGGACCACGGATCAGATATTAAACTGATCAGAACAGATACTACACGATCTTAGCCAAAAGGCCGAGAAAGGTATATCCTTTTTTCTTTTGTTTTCCCATTAGACCCATTCCTCTTGCTGTCATGAATCATCGAGGGGCATCCTATTCAAATGCAAAACTAAATCAGAACCCATTTTTCAAAAGCTCCACTTGCAAAAAGACCAAGACCACCATACATGGGCACACTTGCAAAGGAGTAAACCACACACCCATGCCATCATTCAATGATGTAGATTTACTGTGTAAAAAGATTGGCAACTGCCCATACAAGGGCACACCTGGCATACAAAGGAGTATGCCATGCATGCCATCATTCAAAGATGGAGATGAACTGTTAACAAGACCACCAACTCCCCTGACTGGCAGCGGCAGAGACACTTGTAAAAGACCAGAGAGTCAGAGACCAACCATTCATTAAGTCCACCGAATGCCAGCGCCAAAAGCGACTTCTAGAGGAATGTGGCGAAGCACACAAGCACATTGTCATCACAAATAATTACTTCCCTACAAGAGAATGCAGGTCATCCCTTCTCAACAGCACACTCATCATGACAAGACAGTCAGTCTCCGCACCAGACTCACCAGTGAGTCGTTTCCTTACAGCTTGAATTCACCCGCATGTTTTACATCGTACCTCGTAACGCCCATTCTTGTTCTTGGATACCTGTCACAGGTGGCTTGTCAAGGAAAGCACTCCACAAAAAGGGCCGGGGGGGGGGGGGGGGGGKGGAAACGAATTATCCAAGGGTGTCCACAGCAAGTCGAGGCGGCATTTTTCTACATACTGCCTGGAAACGAAAACGCAAAGTAAATTGTTCTTCTAACAGCAGCAAGCTGCCCTCTCTTTGACACAGCAAAAGATGCAATAGACACCTGCTCATCCTACACTAAGCTCACCCCGATAAAAATAACAGAGGAGAGGATCCAACAGACCCAGCTGCCCTCCTAAAGGCGGAATATTGCTCGGCGAATGCTGGGGAGAAACAGCAGTGCGAGGTATGACACATCCAGGTTGATTGACCGACCTTCTCCAATAAGACAACACAGAAGAATAATGAAAAGTGCCGGGCTCATTGGGATGAGCATTGAGAGAATGCGGATTAAACGGTCCTCGCCATGCCTCGCATGATTGCTGATAAAGCCTTGCTGCAAGTCAGTTACAGGCAGCTTTGGGTATGCCACCCGTCCGTTGATAAGATCGATGCGCCACCCGGAAGAAAAGAGGTCCAGCAGTTGCATTCCATATCACTGTCATGTATTGATTCGCGTCGCCATGGTAAAGTTCGAGCATGACACATTCAGGAGGAGATTCGCGCAGGGTATTTGCATTCACCTGGCAAGTTTGCTAACCCTCTAAGCCTCCCGCTTGATCTGGACTCCTTGCTAATTACCTGCTGAATATAGAATAGCACTAAGATCAAAGGGAAAAGATAAACAAAGTGTTTTTGGAGAGGAGCTGCTGACCAAACATTGACTGTCGATGACTGAGGCAAACGACACATGGCAGACGGTCAACCCACCCAACCACTGTCCTGCTGGAACACCGAGTTCAGTCTGGTACCCAAGAATACTAATGCCCGCAAGAAGAAAAAGGAACTAATCGAAGCCATTGGCATGATCTTGCCTTTGTGAATCAGCCGAAACAAGGTTACGGCCACAGTCAGCATCATTACCACCCATATCCTGCAGTGCAGATATCCTGGGCTATCCTGGGCACCAACATTTTCGTGGACGCAACTACTGGAAGTAACTAGGAGCGATGAGCCATTCGAATTGATTTTATAAACTGCATGCATACCAACCACAGGAATGACACGGCATCTAACGGGCCAAGCTCAGTTGGTACACCCATGAACTGATGAGATACAGACCAAAGTTCTGGCGGAATAGGAACCGCACTGTCGTTCCCCAGAACGGTAGGAGCCAGAACCAGGAGGTTTTGTGTTTGTTTAAACAAAAAAAAGAAAAGGAGGGAGGGGAGGGAAGGGGGAACGGGAGAAGGGGAGGAAGAGGGAGGAGGGGGGAGGGGGGGCGGGGGGGGCGGAATCATTCTGACCCCGGTTAAAATCAGAAGTCTCCAATGGCTCAATTGCCTAGGCTGCTCTGCCAGTGAACAGCTGGCTACACATCAGAAGAAGGAAAAATGACCCAAACAGCACTAATCTGCGCCCGGTATGTGCAGACAACGAACAGGAAGATATCATACACTGCCTGATCACATGCAAAGAGGCTACAGACTACTGGGCTAGAGCATCCATCCCGTGGGATTATCTTTTCTCTTCGTCTTCGCCAGAACACCCAATCTAATTACTCCTATGGACTAACATCCCCACCCACTTTGGCAAATCGGAACGCATATGGTTTGGACTAGTTCGCAAGGTGACGCTCTGGGTAATATGGAAGGAAGGGTGCAGCAGAACACTGGGGAACTCATGTAACCCGAGTGAGAAGGGATGGGCGACGACAAAATCACTACTGGGGGCGGAGATTCTATGTGAGGCAAGTCAAGATCCAAATCCAGAATAATCCGGACAAGCAGCAAGATCTGCGGGAAAAATTGACGAGAATCTAGCTAGCTGGAGGAAAGATAGCAGACATTCAAGGACCGCATCTCCGGTGGAAGGACTGGCACAACTCTACTCAGGCCCAGGGACAAAGGAGAACTCACCTGCCAGAACCACAAGACCTCAGAGTAACAACGTAGGTCCGCTACAAGATCCAAGGAACCGCCTAACCACGAGTGGGCCGAAGAAGGGAATTCTGTTGCAGCTTGTGTTCTCTGTTTTTCTGGCTTCATGGTCTATCTGGTGGGCTCATTACGAGAGAGCCTGAGAGGAATTACAGGTGAAGGCAAGCTGACATTCAATCCTCCACCATTTGGAGCAATCAATGCTGTTCATGGGTCCTTCGTCCAGACGGAAGGAAGCGTGGGTTCTCTCGACTTGCTGGGGGAAAAGGAACCGGACTGACGCTCCCCAGAATGGATACAGAGCCAGGACCATAAGGCCCTGTTTTTGTGAAGGAAAAAAAAAAAAAAAAAAAAAAAGAATGACACAGCAGTTTTCCTGGGCCCAGACCCAGTTTCTTTTTTCCCCGCGACCAGGCCCAGTTTGACCATAAGCATATGGAATACATAATCAAAGAACCGGAATCGGGCTGCATGAGAGAAAATGTGCTCCGTAATTTGTTGTAAAGGATACTCTAGTTGCACAGATTGCAGTGCTCCTCTGTCTGATGCTGGGATCACAAATTTGGTAGGCTGATTGATAACCTGTGCTGAATACTGTACATCCTGAGAATGAGCACAACACCACAACCAGCAAAAAAATGGCCCCAAGTAAGCGGATACTGAAGTAGGGAAGTCAATACTGGGCGTCAACAATATTGATACAATGGGGGAGGCAGAAAGGATGGGAGGGAGGTGAAGGGGGAAGAGTTGTCTGTCTTACACAAGTTCAGAGAAAAAAATTGCATACCTGACTGCTACTAGCCTCAGATTGCCGGCAGAGTCCCAACAGATGGGGGAGGCAGAAAGGATGGGAGGGAGGCTACCACCTGTTGCCGGCAGAGTCCCAACAGATTCCGCTGAGGCACAGATTGAAATGAATCGGGGTGTGCTTTAAAGAGAGCAGGTCATTCGCCAAGCCCTCGATTTTCAAGCAGATGCTGCAAACTGCGATAAGGAGGTTGATGGATAACCAGGCGCAGAAGAAGTTGGATGTGGCATAGACAGAAGCAATGTTCTGTCTCGGGATTGCACTCAACTCCTTAAACTTCCACATGAAGCAGTCGCTACATGTGACCTATCTGGAGTTGCAAATTCAAGGCCGAGGGTGAAGCTCCCTACATTGACGCACATGCCAACCTTGTTGCTGGAATTCATCTATCTCCACATGCAGAAAGCGGAGCACAAAGTATTGGGATGAGTTCAGCTGCATCTTCATCATCGATGGTTCCATAGGACAGTTGCAATCGGCCTTTCATGAACTTCCTCGGGGCGGGTGAGCAAGGCATAGATAATGGCGGGGTTACATARGACAGTTGCAATCAGCCTGTCATGAACTTCCTCGGGGCGGGTGAGTGAGGCCTAGATAATGGCGGGGCTACATAGGACAGTTGCAATCGGCCTTTCATGAACTTCCTTGGGGCGGGTGAGCAAGGCATAGACAATGGCGGGGAGAAAGAAGACAGCAGCGGCACTGGCAAACCTTTGAAAAAAGATCATGCGCGAGATTGGCCTGCACCAGATCAGCATGATATGTAATGACAATACGTAGATCAACAAGAAGGCCACACAGATCCTGGAACGCCGCAGTGACATCAGTGTCACCAAAATCCATGGGTTCCTTGTGCAGCTCACAGCTGCAGTTTGCTGCTGTGCGACTTCAGCACGCTAAAGTGGGTGCACAACACGGTCTGGAGGACGTGTACAGTGCTCAAGTTCATCAGGAAACATCACAGCACTCATCGGCTGATGATATCCATCGATGACAGCCTCTCTTTGCTTCAGCCCACAAAGGTGCACTTTGGTTTTGTTTACCAGATGCTGGACCTTGAATGGATGGTGGGTGAGATGATGGATGAAAGGAAGGCTGCTGCAAAGTGGTGGGCGGGTCGGTGGCAACTACGTGGACGACCGAACCGCGCGCCCAGTCCACTTAGTTGAGGAACAAGTGAACCACCGACTCTGACTGTTCGGGTTGCTGAGGAAAAGGAGCATAAGCGTATGGGTTTTCAAAAAAGAAGGGAATGCATATTTGAACTTTCATGTTTGTCTCACCACGGCCAGGACAGCAGGAAACTGTCACCAGTGATACTGACAAACGGGGAGCAAAAGGTCGTTATGGAGAAGGTGCATGCTGCTCTTGAAAGCCTTGACAATCTTGACCACGGACCGAATGACGATGATGCGGCAGCCTGTGCATGCTGCTGCATTTCTCGTGGAGCTGCACAGAAGGAACGCATGGTGGCTGCATGACGAGGACAGCACAGTGGTTGGATGACGGACAAAGCCCGGTGGTTCACAATCCCGTGAGGACCTTCATGAGGCAGGTCGCGGGGAGGTAGGAGGCAAAGGGACAGGCAGAAATGTCGGGATGGTCGGATGGCTTCCACAGGACGTCCAGCATGAACGAGCAGGACCGGATGCATCACAAGAAGTGGACATTGACTGCACAGATCAATTCCACAAGAGGCAAACGAGCTGGAGAGGATGCATCACAAGATGTGGACGTTGACTTCCCCAACCAATTCCGTAAGACACAAACCATCAGTTCGATCGGCGAGGCATGGAGGGGATGCTCCCAAGTGGCAGGAATTCGGCTTCCATGGACTCAATTCACTGCAACAGGCGGAACAGCCTGTCTACAGAGTCCTTGGAGAAGTTAGTTACCCGTTGAAACATACTACTGTGTGTTGCAAAATGCAATGGCAACGTGCTTGTCCACAGGCCGGCTTCCTGCTTCGGGTGTTGATGGAAGCAGGGAAGGATGAGGTGGAGAGAACAGCAAATGAAAAGCTGGGATAGTGAGCCATAAGCGGATTGCGAAGACTCAAAGGGAAGGTCCAACGGAACTTGGGAGGCTACGGATTCTTATCCTGGAAGCGCTGTGGAAGACCTCGTGTGGATCAGGAAAGAGAGCGCTGAGAGGAGGAGAAGAGGAAGGAGGACGGAAACGATGCCGAAGATGACTTGTCTGGTGGTGTGTTTAACTCATCTGATGCCCACAAGTGTGCTGGGGACAGAGCGCAGATGATGTAGCCCCGCAACATATGGAAGTGGACTTTGTGCCCATTGACACCGGAATCGAGCTCCTCTTGCATAGAGGACTTGGTTCGGAAAGAGAGAAASAGGCYKGTGGGGCGAATGCAGCAAGAGTCGAGGGCATGGCTGATTGTGACAGGGAGGACGCCGAGCGATGTGAGAGAGAGGAAACAGCTCGCGTGCAGCTGTACCGACACAGAGGGTGATCCACGCCAACACAACAAGCTTCAAAAGCAAGACAAGATGAGCAGCAAGTGCAGCCGCAGGAKGCAGAGCAGCAAGATATGCAGCAGCACAATGYGGAGCAGCAAGTGCACCCCACACAAGCGATGATGTACACACGGAGGCCAGCAGTTATGGAAGACCAGAAAAAGAGAGTTTGATGTACTACTAGACTAGTCCGTCAAACTCGTGAACATTTTGGGCGGTAACCAGCAGATCATAWATTTTGTTGTCTAAAACCTTGAGTTTTGTGAAGTTCGCTGTCTCAGTTTTGTCAGAAACTGCATTTTCTCTTATTGCCTTTCTTTGTTTGAATCTGCAA